TCAAAAATTTAAATTTTGATTTTTCGAATTTCTGCCGCCGACTGTGACCTTGCCGACTTCCGGCGCTCCCAACGCGCCATTTTTAGAGCTATGGAAACGAAATACATACCAAACGATAGAGAATTGATCAAGGAACACGATAGTGAAGGTTTCAAGTCGATATCTCCCACCGTTTTGCCGCAATCGCCGCCGAAGGTTGAAAAAAGTATATTTTTCCGAAAATTTGACCTTTGACCGGTCAAAAGTAGGTCAAATGTTGACCTAGGACCAAAAAATATACCACCAATCGCGAGATCTCGTTGAGAGCAATCCGTTGGTTTTTTCCGCTAAGCTCTACGACCTTCCGTTTCGAAATCGTGTTATGAGAAATGGCCTGGTCGTGCGAGGGTTAAATTCATTCGCTTAAAGGTAGTGTGCCAGCTTTCTTGGACCATATGGAGTTAATGACCCGGATAAGGAGAACCGGATTTTTAGAACTTATCCATACCTTCAAAACTTATGGAAACGTCTTAAATTCTTCAAATTTTGAGTACCCCAGTGCGAAATTCGCCCCGACGGGTTGTCGGTCGTACCCCAACCACATTTCACACCACTATGAACAATAAATGCACACACTAAAATCGCTATTACCGATAGGCTCATCCAATCAAGTTTCGATAAACCCGTTCATCATCATCTCCTGCGGTTTCGAACACGCCTGTTAGGTAGCTTCTGATGCTCGTCGAGGTCGGAATTTCCAAATACGCGTGGTGCGTCGGGCCGCGCGCTCTGACTTCGGCCAAGAAAAATGCGTCAGCTGATCATTGTCATTTCTGCCACTTGCGTGTGGTGTAATGGGGTCATAACTTAAGAGACGGCTGTTTCATATCAATTATTTTACATAAAATCATATTTCAAACCACAAATTAATGTTCGACAGCCAAATTTAAGAAACAATACCAATACAGGCTTACAGTATAAGGCTCGACATTGTGTTGTCTACGATTAGACAGCTGATAACTCATTCCCGTACGTCGTATGGTCGTAACACTATAATGACCTTTGCTTATTGTCACAAGTGCGCCGCATTCGCGATTGTTGCCCGACGCCTGTTTGCAGGTGAGCCCACTACAGTTGTTATACATATCTAAAAACCGATAAACTTTTAGGCGAAAAAGGCACTATTCCAGGCCCATTTTTGATTTTTTTTTTTGCGATATTAGGTAAAAACAGAAGCTTCTTATCCTAGGAAAAATAAAACGGGAAATCTTTCAAAGGTGGCACACTACCTTTAACACTTGTAGCCAGACCACTTAGCCCCCGGGCCTATACCTAGCAGCCTGACGCATTTGCTGACGGCACAATTGAATTTCTCAGTTTGAAAGGCAGATGGGGCCTGAGCCGACAGCTCTAAATATATTCAGATCGCTGCAGCGAGCTGCAGATAAGGTCATTTCTCCCAAGGTGACTGAAAAAGCAGTGGCGGAGAGCGATGGTCAGGGTCACCCATCTACGTTCTTTACAATGGTATGCTACATACTTGGTTTCAAGATAGCTGGCGGTGGGCGGACTAAAACACAGTATGGTTGGAAATGATAACTCTTATCATCTTAAGTAGTTACCAACAAAACGCTACCAACTAAACCAAGGCTCCAGAAAGGCGGTCTTGGACGCTGCTGGGGGGGGGGGCATACCCCAAAAACGTTTCTCCAGATTGCAAAAACTCATCGCATTTCGATTCCTTATGCAATACTGTACAGTTCAAAACAAACTTCTCCCAGAAGGCTGTTTAATTTTCGTTTCCATTCAGTGAGGGTCCGTAGTTCATAAGGAAAGGAAATTCGAAAAGCCTTAACCTCTGGGATCGGGTTGTGTTTGTAGAGGTTTGTAGAGGAGAGAATCATGGATAGAGCCAAATGGATACATAGGTATATGGAGACTGGAGAGGGAGACGAAAATAACGAGAACAATAACGCAGAAAACATTAAAGCAGGGGCGGATCCAAGGGGGGGGTCACATGGGTCATGGCCCCCCCCTTGAGGCCCGGGGGCCCAAAGACCTGCCAGGGCACCACCGGCCTATCAGGGGTATCACAGTCCTGACAGGGGCACCACAGGACCGCCAGGGGCACCACAGGCCTAGCAGGGACACCACGGGCCTGGTGCCCCTGGGCCCTGACAGGACTGTAACGCCCCTGACAAGCCTGAAGTGTCCCCGGCAGGCACGTGGCGCCCCTGACAGGCCTGAGGCGCCCCTGCAAGGCCGGTGGTGCCTCTGGCAGGCCTGTGGTGTCCATGGCAGGCCTGTGGTGCCCTTGCTAGGCCTCTGGTGCCCCTGACAGGCTTGTAATGCCCCTGGAAGGACTGTGGTGCCCCTGGCAGGCCTCTGGTGCCCCTGACAGGCTTGCGGTGCCCTTGGAAGGACTGTGGTGTCCCTGGGCCCTGACAAGCCTGAGGTGCCCCTGACAGGCCCGTGGTGCCCTTGTTAGGCCTGTGGTGCCCCTGGCAGGCCTCTGGTGCCCCTGGCAGGTCTGTGGTGCCCCTGGCAGGTCTGTGGCGCCCCTGGCAGACCTGTGTTGACTGGTGCCCCTGCTAGGTCGCTGGTGCCCCTCACAGACCTGTGGTGCCCCTGGGCCTTGACAAGCCTGAGATGCCTGGCTATGACAGGCTCGTGGTGCCCCTGATAGAACAGTGGTGCCCTTGCTAGGCCTGTAGTGCCCCTGGCAGGCCTCTGGTGCCCCTGCTACCCCTGCGCCCGGAGAGGACTATGGTGCCTCTGAAAAGCCTGAAGTGCCTCTCGACAGGCCCGTGGTGCCCCTGACAGGCCCAAGTTACCCCTGCGAGGTCGGTGGTGCTCCTGACAGGCCTCTGGTGCCCCTGGCAGGTCTGTGGTGCCCCCCTGGCAGGCCTGTGTTGACTGGTGCCCTTGCTAGGCCGCTGGTGCCCCTCACAGGCCTGCGGTGCCCCTGGAAGGACTGTGGTGCCCCTGCCCCTAGGGGTGCTCATGGGCCCAACAGGCCCGTTGTGCCCCTGACAGGCCTGTCGTGTATACTTGCTAGACCTGTGGTGCCCCTGCTTCCTGGCAGGCCTGTGGTGCCCCTGCTTCCTGGCGGGCCTGTGGCGCCCCTACAAGGCCGTAGGTGCCCCTGACAGGTTTGTGGTGTCCCTGGAAGGACTTTGGTGCCCCTGACAAGCCTGAAGTGTCAAGGACAGACCCTTTAGACGCCAGGGTCAAGTTCGTCGGACTGACAACGATTCGCTTACCTGATAACGTTCCTGGTAAGTACTCACTAATCAGCGTCCACAACATATATACACATAACACATTCATATATACTTGCTTACAATTGGTAAATGTGGTTGTGGGTAAGAGTTAAGATACTGACTAAAAATAAAAAAAAATAAAAAAACTGAAAATGGGGGCACCACCAAAATTAAGTGGACGAAATCCGTTGAGTTTTTAATTTTGGGTATAGGTAGGGGCACCACTTCGATTCATGACCCTCCCCTTGGAGTTTTCCTGGATCCGCCCCTGCATTAAAGGTAGTGTGCCACCTTTGAAAGATTTCCCATTTTATTTTTCCTAGGATAAGAAGCTTCTGTTTTTACTTAATATCGCAAAAAAAAATCAAAAATGGGCCTGGAATAGTGCCTTTTTCGCCTAAAAGTTTATCGGTTTTTAGATATGTATAACAACTGTAGTCGGCTCACCTGCAAACAGGCGTCGGCAACAATCGCGAATACGGCGCACATGTACAATAAGCAAAGGTCATTATAGTGTTACGACCATACGACGTACGGGAATGAGTTATCAGCTGTCTAATCGTAGACAACACAATGTCGAGCCTTAAACTGTAAGCCTGTATTGGTATTGTTTCTTTTATTTGGCTGTCGAACATTATTTATGGTTTGAAATATGATTTTATGTAAAATAATTGATATGGAAAAGCCGTCTCATAAGTTATGACCCCATTTCACCACACGCAAGTGGCAGAAATGACAATGATCAGCTGACGCATTTTTCTTGGCCGAAGTCAGAGCGCGCAGCCCGACGCACCACCACCGCACCACAAAGTATGAGCAGAAGCCGCGCCCAAAGCCAGGGCCCCGGTAACGTGAGGTAGCCGAGTCGGGGCAGCGTGCGCTGACCCAAGCCGGGGCCGCAGCTTTGGGCGCGGTCTACCGCATCCCCGCGGGCAGCCCCGGGCTATCACATGACACCGGGAGGACGCGCGGCTCCGGCTTGGGTCAGCGCACGCTGCCCCGACTCGGCTACCTCACGTTACCGCGGGGCCCTGGCTTTGGGCGCGGTCTACCGCACCACCTAACAGGCGTGTTCGAAACCGCAGGAGCTGATGATGAACGGGTTTATCGAAACTTGATTGGATGAGCATATCGGTAATAGCGATTTCAGTGTGTGCATTTATTGTTCATAGTGGTGTGAAATGTGGTTGGGGTACGACCGACAACCCGTCGGGACGAATTTCGCACTGGGGTACTCAAAATTTGAAGAATTTAAGACGTTTCCATGAGTTTTGAAGGTATGGATAAGTTCTAAAAATCCGGTTCTCCTTATCTGGGCCATTAACTCCATACGGTCCAGGAAAGCTGGCACACTACCTTTAACACCGAATACAGTAATGTTGGAAAAAAGGTGTATGGCTAATGAAATTGATTACAGTTCGCATTTTACGGGAAAAAAAAAACATACAAAATCATAGACAATCTTAAATATTATCCGCGAAAGCGTGATAAGAGAAAATAATTAAATTGTGCCTAAGTATGTACCTACAGTTATGCTTTAGCAATAGCTGGAACTAATCAAAATCGTTACATAGTGAATGTAAATGTAGATGTGTTCTATCAAAACAAACACACCCTCCTGTGCTGAGTTCAAGGTCACTGGTTAAAACAATTTTACGGGATATAACTGTTCAATGAAAACTAAGCTGATTAGATCACATCACTGGTGCCGACCAGCAGTAACTGATCGGTGACCTGACCCCGTCTCTGTCCCCTCACCTGTCGTTCTGACGGCGACCGGCGGGCGACTGGGACCGCCACCGGCCCTGCGGCCGCTCAGCTGGTACCGACCCGCCCCCCCCCCCCCCCCGCACACGCCCCGAATCGATGTTCTGGGCCGTGCGAGCGCCGCCGCTAAGGGCGAATATCGCCAGCTCTCCCGTGCCGTACCGTGCCAACACCGCCCTAACGGCTGCTGCGTCAGAGTCAGATTTCCCGTACGGAGATCGATAGTAGGCGGAGTGGCTCCGTCATGCATGTGGGTCATCGGCACGCGTAAAGTGCGTGTGGGGTCCGCTACCGGCGTGACCCGGCGAGACCCACAGCAAACAGCCGCCGGGGGTACCGCGTCTGAGGTCAGCTCGAGCCGGCGGTGACTCCTCAACATTTCAAACTGGGACTCGAACAGCGGCAGCGCGAGAACCACCCACTTCACGACCAGGCATAAAAACAGCAGCGCCGCGAAATAATATCTGGACGGAACTCTCAGGATGAGGAATTGTTCACACACTTCATAACACATATCTTGCTTATTCATGCCGCCGCTGCCAGAGCCCTCCCAGTCACCCCGGGCCTGCCAAGCCATGCCGTGGTGCCGTGCCGTGCCGTGGCGTCGTGCCGCGGTGCCGTGCCGTGCGTCGCCCACAGTCGGTCAGATCATCGGTTACCGGAGCACTGTAATACACCCGCCCTCCCTGCGGCCGACCGTGCCTGCGCAAATGAGGGTGCCATTACACGGCCCTCGTCAGCCGCCGCCCCCGTCTCCTGTACCGCCCCCGCCTCCGCCTCCGTTCGTGACGGAAGCTGTGTGGGGACACTGTGGGCTGCAGAGTGTGAGATGGCGGCAGGCCAAATCCAGCCTGAGCGACGGGGCGCGATCAAAACACCCGGCTGGCGAAAGGGAAGCGAAAAAAGTGTCACCCGGAATAGAGCACGAGAGCAACGTTCATAAAGATAGCTCCGACCTGAGCAACAATTCCTCATTAAAATTTTGCATCAATATGGATAAGACGCTTTGAAGGCAAAATAAATATATTGGCTTCTTAAATGTATTTCTTAGAGTATTGTCTTACCTTCCACGCTCCCTACTCCAATGAAACAAAATGGATGAGGCGCTGCAGCGACTCTAGAGGGATACAGCCAGAACTTGTGTTGAACGTTGCGTGCATTCTGTTTGTCCAGCTTTGGCTTGACTTCACGTCTAATTAATTCGTATTTTATTTTCTTGTGTACTTAATATCGGATCAGTAATGAAGAACGTTCTCTAAAGGCTCCGGAACTTATTTTCTCGTTCCCTTGTCTTCATTGTTTCAAATATTTCGCAGCGTATAGGTGTGTATTGTATTCAAGTTTAAGTAGAAACGTTGAAGTTACATTTTTGTTTTCCGTCATGGTAAAGAGAACGTTTATTGACATCTAGAAACCTAAAAAGGCAAACAATTCATTGTGAGTTGAAAACTAATTAATTATTGAATACAAGGTTCATACAAAGAGGCTGATTTAAGGCATCGACATCGTTTAAAGGCGAAATTAGATGAAAAAAGAAAAAAGAGTTAGACGAAAAGACATCTGCGACTCTGCAGAGTAAGCCGACCTCGCTTCAGGCCTTATCAACAGCACATCCCAGAGGAAATGGTGCCAAGCCCGGCCCCTTTGATGACACCATTTCCTGCTGATAATTTGTTTGCTTTGAAGCTTGTGAAGCATGCAGCCCTTTGATCCCGTAAAGTTAATGCTAGCGTAGACTTTCCATGGCGCAGTGTGACAGATAAATTATCGAAGATAATTTATACAAGTTATGCTTGTAGATCTTCTGAAAAGTTCGAAAGTCCTTTATCCCAGATCTGTAGCTGTTTGCTCTCCTCAATGGACGCTCTACCTGTCGTACTTTGGCTACTTTACCGTATAGCAGACTTGTAAACGACTCTGAGTTGATTCGTGAATCGACTCAGAATCAAACCGTTTTTCGATGAGTCGTGAGTTGATTCGAATCACTTCATTGAGGAACTTGATGAGTCATGAGTTGATTCGAATCGATTAAATTTAGCATCATGAGTCATTTGATGAATCGATTCAAAATTTCCGACTCAAACAAAGAATCGACTCAAAAAAAATTTGAGTCGTTTACAAGTCACCATCAACACCCTAATAATCAATGCTAGATCAATCTCTCAGCTTTAGCCATCACTTAACTCCATATTTCAGACTTACAAGAGCCTCAGAGGCTCAGGCACAGGCGCCTAATGAGCCAAAAGCATTTGGCAGTTGGTAGGTACTTAGTCTTACCAAGCCAAGTGCCTGCTACACTACCTAGGTACCTACATTTTACATGTCAGAAGTCAGAATTGACACCTGCGGCTGCCTCCCCTTCTCCCAGTCCCAATTTGGTCCCAATAATCAATCAACAGCATAAGAGTTAGCCGGGTGTCTATAGAGTCAAATACGCCCAAACTACCTATAGCCTATAAACTACCTATAGGCTATGCTATAATATAAATAAACTCACCTAGGTCGGTAAAGCTTGCGTCACCGTCGCCTTCCCGCCAAGGTAGGCCGTAATGACCAAGGTCACGTATGTCAAACTAGTGACAGCTTCAGATCGCAGTTACCGTGCGATCGTACTAACTTACTGCAAATTTGTGCTAACCTGCTGCAGTGGAAAACAAGTAAGTATTATGTCCGTGAAGTTAGCGTCAGCAACAACAACGAATACAGCGTCGGATTCAGAATCGCTCAAAAAACTCTTATTCGGTCAATTGGGGGACGGGGAGCAAGAATATGACCTTTATTTGGCCCTAGCTTTTACCCCTTACCCCTGAATCGGCCCTTAAAGGAAGGGGCGCGTCAAAAGTGCCTCAAGGGTTCGTCTGATCGCCAAAATAAGGGTCGCAATCGATTCCCCGGGTTAATATCTAGCCGCAGCCTTGGGTTCCAGATGTGTGCAACTTACCCCTTACCCCTTAATCGGCCCTTAAAGGAAGGGGCGCGTCAAAAGTGCCTCAAGGGTTCGTCTGATCGCCAAAATAAGGGTCGCAATCGATTCTTCGGGTCAATATCTAGCCGCAGCCTCGGGTTCCAGATGTGTGCAACTTACCCCTTACCCCTTAATCGGCCCTTAAAGGAAGGGGCGCGTCAAAAGTGCCTCAAGGGTTCGTCTGATCCAGGGTCGCAATCGATTCCTCGGGTCAATATCTAGCCGCAGCCTCGGGTTCCAGATGTGTGCAACTTACCAGGGACCGCGGATTCAAATTCTCGTAGGGTGTGCAAGATGTGGCGATTGGGCCCCCATCTCACGCCGGGCCCCTTCCAAAAAGTCAGCGCCGCCACTGCTCCGGAATAAGCCGGTTCTAAGGAAGCGGGGCGGGAAAACCTTCAAAATTGACGGTCGTAAGATGACTGTGCGAGCATCTTACGGTCAGGAGATGCATGAGCAGAGTAAATGCGCATGCATGCATGCAACGTGATCCAAATCGATCTCCGATTTTCCCAAACAGACCCCTAAAGGCTTACAGTGACCTTCAAGAGCCCCTACGGGCCTCAGAGAGCCCTTTTGCACAGTTGATGTTGGCACACTTCTTTTTATCGTGGATTACATGAATTAGTTTAAAAATAAAACACGGCCGGCGGGATGTTTGGGCCCATCGATTTGGCCCCTATGACCTATTGGGTTCTGGCCTCCGGCCCCCTTAGCTTCCCCATTGCTCTACGGCCCACACGCTGGCTTTGGGGCCCCATAAAGGCCGCACGCCAGCTCCTGAGACCCAACGCCGGCAATTCTAAGGGTCCCCGGCGCACCGCACTCGGTCTTTGAAGGTCCCATAACGGCCTCTGGAATACCTCATGTACATAGAAATGTGGATGCCCACGCCGCTTCTTGGGCCCCCACACCGGGCTCTTTGACACCGTTCGCCGGCTCCATGGGGTACCAACTACCCTACCAAGCAAGCTCGCCTGGAGGTCCCCCACCGTCTCTTGGCGCCCTTTACTGTTTATTGGCGCCCTATTCTATTCAGGCATCGAGTAGCCTCGATGCCTGAATAGGGCCCCGAGACATCGACCTTGGCCAAAAAGCGTTCGTGTAGGCCCTCAGAAACTGTTGTGAGCCCTGAGATTACTGTGTGGGCTACTCAGGCACTTCTGTCGGGTCATCATGCATCGAGTTGGGTCCGAGCTAGTGAGGGCTATCAGAAGCATCCTTAAGCCCTGCGACTTCAGAGGTTGGTGTGAGATCCTAAAAAAAAAAGAAAGTGAGGGCACTCCGAGGCTTGCGAAGGGTTTTTCCTCGGAGGTCGGCCTTGGCCGAACGGCGTTCCTCTAACTGGTAAAGGGCGCTGAGATTACTGAATGGGACTATCGAGTATTGGCATGGGGCCCTCAACTATCAGCACGGAGCCCTCAGGAGCCGGTAAGGGCTCCTCTGCGCCATGCATAAGCCATCCGATTTCAGAGGCCGGTGTGAGATCCTAAACAAGAGCTGAGTGCACTTAAAAGCCTGCGTAGGGCCCTCAGAGATCAGCTTTGACCAGACAGCGGTCGTGGACGCCCTTAGAAACTGACGTAGGGGCCGCCTCAGTCGGTCGGCCCTCTCACATCAGCCTGGGGATCTCAGGAATCGGCCTGGGGCCCCCAAGAGCCGGTTAGGGCCCTCGGAAAGTGGCATTATACCCTGAGATAGCTGTGTAAGGCCCTCGGGTAACGGCTTGGGGCCCTCGGGCATCGGCCTGCGCCCCCGGGCATTGGCCAGAGGTCCTTGGATATCGGTCTGGGGCCCCTCAAGAGCCGGTGAGGGCCTTCAGAAACTGGTATGGGGCCCTGAGATAACTCTGTGGGCTTTCAGTTCCTGATGCGGGACCCTTAGGCATCGGCCCCAAGAGGGGGTTAAGGAGGGCAGGGGGCAGGGGCCCTCAAGAGCCGGTTAGGGCCCTCAGAAACTGGCGTGGATCCCTGAGCTAGCCATGTAGGTACTCAGACACCGGCGTGGGACCCTTAGACATCGACTTGGGGCCCTCGGGCATCGGCCTGGGCCCTCAAGAGCCGGTGGGAGCGCTAAAAATGGCGTGGGTGGGGTTCTGAGATAACCCCTGAGATAACACTAGAACCTGTTCACGCCTTCAGGCACCGGTGCGGGACCATCAGGGTCGCGCTGCGGCGCTGGGGCCCTCGAGAATCGGCTTGGGACACTCGAGCGCCAGGGCCGCATGGGCCCCCACAACGAACTGTGGGTGTGCAAAAATAGGTGTTTGCACACCCTCGGGATTTTCAGGGTGTGCAATTGCACACCCTGCCCCCCGGAATCCGCGGTCCCTGCAACTTACCCCTTACCCCTTAATCGGCCCTTAAAGGAAGGGGCGCGTCAAAAGTGCCTCAAGGGGTTAGGGGTAAGTTGCACACATCTGGAACCCGTGGCTGCGGCTAGATATTGACCCGAGGAATCGATTGCGACCCTTATTTTTGCGATCAGAGGAACCCTTGAGGCACTTTTGACGCGCCCCTTCCTTTAAGGGCCGATTAAGGGGTAAGGGGTAAGTTGCACACATCTGGAACCCGAGGCTGCGGCTAGGTATTGACCCGAAGAATCGATTACGACCCATATTTTGGCGATCAGACGAACCCTTGAGGCACTTTTGATGCGCCCCTTCCTTTAAGGGCCCATTAAGGGATAAGGGGTAAGTTGCTCACATCTGGAACCCGAGGCTGCGGCTAGATATTAACCCGAGGAATCGATTGCGACCCTTATTTATGCTATCAGACGAACCCTTGAGGCCCTTTTGACGCGCCCCTTCCTTTAAGGGCCGATTAAGGGGTAAGGGGTAAGTTGCACACATCTGGAACCCGAGGCTGCGGCTAGATATTGACCCGAGGAATCGATTGCGACCCTTATTTTTGCGATCAGACGAACCCTTGAGGCACTTTTGACGCGCCCCTTCCTTTAATGGCCGATTAAGGGGTAAGGGGTAAGTTGCACACATCTGGAACCCGAGGCTGCGGCTAGATATTGACCCAAAGAATCGATTGCGACCCTTATTTTGGCGATCAGACGAACCCTTGAGGCACTTTTGACGCGCCCCTTCCTTTAAGGGCCGATTAAGGGGTAAGGGGTAAGTTGCACACATCTGGAACCTAAGACTGCGGCTAGATATTAACCCGGGGAATCGATTGCGACCCTTATTTTGGCGATCAGACGAACCCTTGAGGCACTTTTGACGCGCCCCTTCCCTTAAGGGCCGATTAAGGGGTAAGGGGTAAAAGCTAGGGCCAAATAAAGGTCATATTCTTGCTCCCCGTCCCCCAATTGACCGAATATGAGTTTTTTGAGTGATTCTGAATCCGACGCTGTATTCGTTGTTGTTGCTGACGCTAACTTCACGGACATAATACTTACTTGTTTTCCACTGCAGCAGGTTAGCACAAATTTGCAGTAAGTTAGTACGATCGCACGGTAACTGCGATCTGAAGCTGCCACTAGTTTGACATACGTGACCTTGGTCATTATGGCCTACCTTGGCGGGAAGGCGACGGTGACGCCCAAGGTGACGCCACTTTCGAGTCTCAACTCAAGATCATATCTGATTCTGAGGCCTGAGCCACCCATGCAAGGTCATGGCCTCCTCGTTTGCTCCTCGTGGCCCATGGAGTCCCTGCTGATGCTGAATGTGTCACAGGTGGGATTAATCCTATTTTTGAGGTTGTACTGTTTGAATAATTTTATGTGATAAGTAAGAAGTAGTAACATTTGTTTCATTATCATGTAGAAAAAGTTTGATTAAAAAAAAAACATGAATGCCTCTCGGAACTTGTGCTTTTGAATTTTCAAAAAGACTTTCTAGGTAATAATAAGAGATAGGTTACTATGCTACTCCTTAGTCCTCACTTATATTATAATTGTCTCTCAGAGTTACTTACAAATTTATCTGATATTGCACTGTTGACTGTTGAGTGTTGAAGATAGGTAGGTGTAAGGTAGGTACCTATGTACCTACTACCTAGTCCTACTAGGTAGCTGCTTGAATCTTTGGTCAAGGCTACTATGCTGCTTAATACAATTGTGGTATGCGGCATATTCATTTTGTCATAGCTTTGAGTCAAATAATCAACAAATGCCTATAGTGAGTCATGGGTTGAATGAAATAAGTTCAATAAAAAGGTCGTGTGAGTCATGAGTTGATTTGAATCGATTCATCAAAATGTGAGTCATGAGTTGATTCGAATCATTCCGTTGGCTAGTTGCTCGAGTCATGAGTTGATTCGAATCATTTTATCGAGGAACTTGATGAGTCATGAGTTGATTCGAATCAATTAAATTTAACATCATGAGTCGTTTGATGAATCGATTCAAATTTCCAGACTCAAACAAAGAATCGACTCAAAAAAAATTTGAGTCGTTTACAAGTCTGCCGTATAGTGAGTCCGATGACTGATGAGGACTCAGTACATACACGTATTCCAACATTTCTGGTATATTCGTGTTGCCCGACAATGTTGTAGTAGATTCAATAAATCACAAGCAAACGGCGCCCTAGCTACCGATACACGAAATGAAACCATCGTGTCAAGCATACAGCGAGCGTATGAATGCAAACTAGAGGACTCTGGGAGGTACCGGATGTAGGGTTTCTGAGAAGAGAACCCAGCGCTGTGTCAGACTGCAAAGAGCTATCTGGCTCCGAGTACAGCCCATTCACTTATATGTAAATATCAAGCCAATGAATACGACTTACGAGTGCTTACAACTAAGGAAACTAAATGCATATTGCTGAATGAGGCGGGGAATGCAACTTGGCAATAGGTAGGTATCAGACATGTGCATGGATCCGAGTGATGGATCTATGATCTCAGTGGATCTCGAGGCACATTACAGGTTTGAATCTATGATCCCACCGAATCCGGCGTGAAAATTTTATCCTGGATCTATGATCTCACAGGATCTGACGATAAACCAAAAGCATGGATCTATGATCTGAGTGGATCCCACCATGAACAACATTCGAAACCAGGTTTTCAAGTGTTTCTATGTCAATAAGTGCCATAAAACTATGGATTATGACGTGTTATCACATAAAAGCACTAAATAAGAACGTTTGTGAGAACTGCAACGAGTGATCTTTTGGGATTTCTGTGTTGACCAAAAATAAATGAGGATCTATGATCCCACTGGATCTCAAGCAAAAATACTAGACTCGGATCTATGATCCCTACGGATCTCTCGATAAATTAAAGAGCTGGATCTATGATCCCGACGGATCCGAGATCAGGATCCGTGGGATCAGATCCCAGATCCATTTTCTCGGATCCATGCACATGTCTGGTAGGTATGTATGAACTATGAACTATGACTTTCGCTAAACTAAATTATATGACCTATGCTAATGAAACCAAGGTCACTAACTTCCGTTAAAAATTTGTTTGTTGTGATGACACTGTCCATCAAACAATCTGGAAAGAAACAAAATGCGCTGCCGAAAGAAAGACGTTGCCCTGTAAACACTCAAAAGGCCATGCAGGACAGTCTATTTTCAGGCGCAATACAGTAACGCCATCTAGCGGTGGTAATCAGAAACACTACAACGCTGCGGTACAGTATAACCCGCAGGCGCTAATATGCCGCGGCGTAACAGAAATGTGACGTGCGGGTCAGTCTAACTGCAGGCGCTGACACGTAGCGACATCTCTCAGTAAATTATTGCACCAAGTCGCCTTGTGGTACGGGCCGAAAAGATCGGTTGTTGTTTTCAATAGCTCGATTGGTCAAGCTTGACCGAGGCTAGTTCACCATAGGCCCTGAGTTCACCTTTGAATTGTGATGCTATGTCGGAGATGCGCATTACGCATGTAGCCTATGCTATGCCTAAAATGTTATGCAATTGTATTGCAGTGCAGGTAATACAAACGTGAAACGTGATTAAACACACCCCACAGGTGTGGACTTACCTGATCTGGCAATCCCCCACTTCCAGAAGAATTTGACACCTGAAAAAACGGGACTGATCAGTAAACAATACCTACTAAGAATATCTTTATTTATTTAGAAATTAAAGCAACTTTACGTTTCACCATGTGTATTTATTTATTTAGGTATTTAATGCCATTCTGCGTCCCCAGTGCAACCATTTGAAGGCTCTGGAACGTTTCCCCAGTGTCTATCTCCCCTCCCCGATATCCCCCCACCCACAGCGCTGTCGCCAAATCATCGACCGGCTGGCACATTGCCAAGACGCCCGTTGCTCTGCTCTTGGACCCAGCGGCTCTGCGACGACCTTGACCGGTATATATACATCGGCGGTTGGCCCGGGGCGACGCCGGTCACTCGTGTTCTCAGGGGCGGGGTTTGGCACTCTGCCAACCAGCTGGGATGACCGTGTCGAGAGGAAGGGAGAGAGTACAGGGGGCGGGCGGCGAGGGACGGGGGAGCCGGGAAATGATGGAATCGGCGACCGGAAGTGACATAGCGCAGGAAACCGTGGGCGGAAGAGCGGACAGAGCCGCCAGCACCTCCTGATGTGTGGCTGACAGACATGTATTACTGAGATCGATACTCGATTGAAAGAGTGCGCATTGGGCAATGGTTTGGCTTGCTTAACCACGATTGAGACAGGAATTTAGATGAATAAACGACCTCAACTGAAGTATCTCGGCGATGATTCAGTCTAGGCTGCGAGTGCATTATGCAGCCCGTGTAATGTTGGCAATCAAAGCACTAACTTTGTCGGAAACCTATCGACAATTCTGCCGTCCAAAGGCAAAAACGCATATGTCGGGTCATGACCTGACCCGACATATGCGGTTTTGCCTTTGGACGGCAGAATTAAGCTTTAAAAAAAAATCACACAAATACTTCCTTCGAATCAACACACAATTTCACCATCCTAAATCCTAAATAACTGGTTACATACACTAGCCAGTCAGGGCATAACGGCAATCAGCAGCACCATGTCCGACGGCTGTGCCATTGCATGTTGATCTCATGAACGGACGGCTAACCACCTGGTGACAGATGTCCCGAAAGGCCAGAGCGGTGCAGCCCTTCCCAGTGAACACTCACCCAGGTATCTTGCTCTGCGACACTCCATCCGGCACGTCCAGTGACCGGGACCGGTACCCTGTGAGGGTGACCTCCATCGACCTGGGCCTGGCCCGGGACCACAGACCCTCCCTCTGTCCGTGCGCCCTCCCGCCCTCTGCCACCGGCCGCGGCTCGTCATCAAACCGGACCACAGACCGCAGTTGTATACCGTCCTCGGACTCAGTCGGTGTCTCCGCACTGGCCCGGCCTGGTCTCCAGCCGGCAGAGTCCAGCAGCGAGTCCAGCTGACGGCTGCGGTGGCGCTGCAGCGCCTGCTGGGCCGGACGCAGCAGTGCCCGGTGCTCCTCACGCAGCAGGAAGTGACTCCGGTAGGCGGCGCCACCGACCGACCGCCGGGCGGCGCCACCGTCCAAGGCGCTCAGCTGCCGCGGCAGCGAGCTCGAGCGGCGCAGGCCAGTGGCCGGCACCGCACCGCCGTTCAGCAAACGCTCGAAGCTGCTGTTGGAGGTGTTCCCTCTCGAGAAAGTGTGCACCGGGGGTGGAGGCGGAGCGGGCGGGTCGGATCGGAGTTCCAGCGAAGCCCGGGCGCTGTTGATACACGCCTGCCGCATCAGACTGTGGCGCTTGTGGGAGTCCGTGCAGGCGGGAGCCGGCCGCCGGCGACGCACCGACTCAGGGGAGTGCTGACCCTCCATCGGAACCGTATGGTGTCACCATTTAGTCCCACAGGTCACGGAAAGGCAAACGGACGCGAATAGAATATGGCGTCAAATTACTGCGGCGGGGGTCGGCGGCTGGCAACGCTAGTCTCGGGTACTCGAGATGTCAACCGCCAAGGTCAGACGCTGACAGCTATACAAACACCGCGTCCAGGCCCGTCACAGCCGTCACAGCGTGCAGTCACGCTCCGACACCGTCACTGGCCGTCACTGAGCGCTCACTCGACTCGAACGTCACTGCTCGACATCGTCCAAACGTCACATTGGCGTTCAATCACCACCGCAGCACTGTAGTTCTACACGACCACTACACGGCCCTCGGCGCTCTGTATCCTCCCCCGCTCTGCACTGCACTGATGGCCGGACCGAGAGAGCACCAGTCGAGAGACATGGTATCAGTCAGAGCATCCGGACTAGGTCTGGGGCGCCGGGCGGAGCGCCGCCGGCTGCCGCCCCTCGCCCGCGGCGCCGGCGGTGGTGTCACAGCCCCACCCTCCCCTCCCCCCTCCCCGGGAGCCAGCTCAGTTGACACAGCGAAACGGCAGCGGTGGGGGTGAGCGATCGGGGGGGGGGGGCAGCTCCGCCTACTGGGGATCCCATGGCGGAGCCGGATACAATTACCCTGTACAATACGAACTGCGCAGCGATGCGAATATTCGTTTTAAAACACTGATGAATAATGTCAGTGAAGGAATGCGAGCAGCCCGACCGGGTGAAATAAGATTAAATGTCAGTTGTAAAAAAGTTTCTATCGAATATCGACCGTACCCAGCAAACTGGCACCCCACATATTGATTTCATAAATGCGAGCATTATATGGCGGCAGCCGGTAATGCTAAATTTATGCTTTGAGGCAGCTTTATCACCCACTGTAAGACCGTGGGTTCGGTCAGGAACTGACTGAACCCACCAGACAAACCAGACAAACCAGACAAAGGCCACGGTCTTTGTGGGAGACCAGGCAAGAGACCATGCCGTGTCCGTCACGTGCAGACCGCCCTCTCAGTCATCTGCAGGTCGCTGGCTCTGTCCTTACGTCAGCCGCCGGTGATTGATGGAGAAGCGGCCGCCGGCTGCCGTGTTTACGGCACGGACGACCTGATTCACCCGGCGGTGAGCGAAGGACGAGATGCAGGGTCCGAGAATCCGAGACCGTGATAGGAACGTCACTGGTGAACGGATGGACGCGCCCGGCGCCGCCCGAACGGGCAGAACCAGTGGTAACTCGTTATACCGAACTAACACCGCCGAGGTCACATTTCAGCGCAGTGCTGGGACAAACACATTGAAATGGTTTGACGCCTGCACATAGGCATGTTCTTGTATGTTTACAGGAGCCGTTTATGATGCAAGCGTACTGAATTCCCCATAAATGTGACGGTGATGAAGACGGCTCAACTCAACTCAACTCATTTATTTTAACAAACCAGACAAAGAAAAGACACACAAAACATACAAATAGGATTGGTGCAAAAGCCTAAAGCTTAACTCAAGGCACCTCTCCACATTCAATAGAACTTAACAAAACATGACACCGCCGGGATTAACATAATACACCAACATAACAATAAATTAAATGAAAGGCGAACATAAACAGGAGTGTGAGATTACTCCTCCGCTGAGTCAGCAGCCGCCCCCGCCGCCCGCCGCAGTGCCATCGCCCTGACCACGAAGTCCTGGAAGAGCGCCGCGGCCTCCCGGCCGCCGTCAGTGCTTGTGGTGATACTGTCTCCGTGTATTAAATTGTGAATTAGGTCTCTTCGAGGTAAATTTAGAATTTGGTTACCTAAGACCAGTGAAAGCTGAGTGAAAAGGTTAGCTCTGACTTCCTGATAAAGAGGGCATGATAAAAGAAAATGGTGTATTGTTTCTGGTTCATTGTGACAAACGCAATGAGGGGTGGAGAGTTTCTGGAGCTGGTAGAGATTGGCATTTAATGGGAGGCTTCCTGTCCTGATTTGTGTATGGAATGCGTTGCCGAGTTTTGAGCCAAAAGAGAAATAAGCGTGTGGTTTTGGTGTGCCGAAGAGGCTTGTAAGACCATCCTGAAACTCCTGACCGGCTGACGGGTGAAGCCTGGAGGGAGCCAGAGGACGGACGCCTTACGTATTTACCCGAAGTCACAGTGGGCTAGCCCCAGACTACCAACGTGAGCCCGCTCTCCTGTTGTCCACCACCGAACGTAGAGCACATTATGGGAACGTAGAGACGGTTCCCACAATAAAATTACATATGGCATAGCCATGCACTAAGTTGGATAAACCATATAATAAGCAAAATAAACGAGAAGACGAATAAACGGACAGACGGACAGTCAGACAGACTGGCAGACACACTGGAAGATAGACGGAAAAATACTGATGGACGGATAGACAGACAACACCAGACACAAGGAGAGACGGGCACAAGATAAACGGGCACACAGACGGACAATACGGACAAACCTGACAAAACGGACAAACGGATAAACTGACCAATACACAGGAAGACGGACAGGCGGACAGGCTGGGCGGACGTATGAAAACATAAACGTAGATGGGCAATGTATTCAATCGGAAGAAAGGTAGTCCCCAGGATGAACAATGTTCATTCAACCGGTGCTTGTTTCTGGGGCTTCAGATGTTCATTGAACATCTTGAGCCCCAGAAACAAGCACCAGTTGACTGACAGAACGAACAGACGGATGAACAAGTCCGGACGTGGTTCACTCTCGGCGGGCCGGGAGCCGCCCTCACTCACCTGGCGCAGCGCAGGCAGTTGATGTGCAGGTAGTGGCCGTGCACGATGATGAAGCCCGTGTTGGCCGTGCTGCCGGAGCAGAGGAAGCAGGTCGGCGGGCGGGCGGCGCCCTTCGACAGACCCCTCGCCGGAGACCGGCCTCTGATCACCGCCTTCGGTTTCAACGAGCGGTACACCTTCTGGTGCCACTGGTTAGAGCGGTCGAACGCCTCCGGGTCCGTCTCGGCGCAGTCCCGGTCACCACTGCTCGGTTTATCGCCCTGCTCAGCCGCCGTCTCCGTGACCTTGGCAGGGTCACCGTCACCGGTCACTTGCGGCGGGTCATCAGCTGACCTCAGGTCAATGACGCGGCGCGCCAGGTCGGACACGCTGGCGGAGAGCTGACGCGCGCGCACCGGACGCCGGAGACTGAACAGGGATCGCGAGAGGAGCGCGGCGCCGCTCAACCGCAGTCGGCCAGGCTGTAGGGAGCCGGACGACTGGCTGCTGCTCAGGGTGGGTGACGTGTTCCGCGGCAGACTCAGCGCCTTCGACATGGCTGGTCGCTAGTGGGGTCGCACGTTCACACCCGCAGCCTCGTCCTTAGAGTCGTGTGGTTGTAAGCCGGAAGGTGGGTACAAATGGCTTCAAAACCGAAAGGCCTTCCGTGCCAACTGTCATCGAAAGGTCCATATGTTAGTCACTAGGATATTCGCAGCACGCTGCCCCTAACACACTGCAGGCTGACACTTGGCCCTGACCTTTCACTCAAAGGAAGTGAGAACAAGTTCCACGCGTGCCGACGTCGCCAGCTGGAAGCTTATCAAGCGATCACCGCAGTCGCTTGTCACAAGTCTCCTTATAATGCAGGCACGAAACACTCAAACGAACAGCCCTCTTCGATTTTAACTAAGCCCTGCAACAGCTCTACGTCACCACTTGCACCCGACACCACAAGAAGATTGCACGCCACAGCCCACAGCGCACTACAGATCCAATTCTAACTCTCGTCCCGCCACAACGCTCAACGATCTAGCTCTATACAGCGTCGCGCTCGACGCGTCGATCACCAATAAGCCTGGGGGTAGGGTACAGGTGAGCAGCGAGCAGGGCTGCGGGACAGGTGTTCCACAGGTGGCTGTCACGGGCTGACAAGGTCGCTAGTGGCGGTCTCAGAGCACGCGCCGCGGCCGTACCGTCCCCAGGTCACCCCGGGTCGCTGCAGACAGTGCAGGTGCGTTGAGGACAGGGTGACTGGCACACCTGTAGTGGTAAATGTTAGCGACAGTTATTGAAGTCCCGCGGCTGTGAAAAGGATCAATTGGTAATTAACTGGGTTTGTCTACCAGGTCCCTGGGTGGTGTTGGTTGTGAGAGTGTTAGACCACTAAGCGGATGGGTTCGCTCTGAGGTCAACATCTGTTTCTCAGGCCTTGATGCCCTGAGTGTGCCTGAGGTCTTGCCCATCTTGATGATGCCTTGAAGCCCATCGTTCAATGGCTCGGGACGCCACTGTGGACCTGAGCTGCGGGCGTTATTCGACGGACGGCGTGGCGCCGCTGATCGCCAATTCACTATCGATCGAACTCGTACAGCGCAACCGTCGCTGACCCGCAGTTAGCCGCCGCCGCCGGACCGCATTTCAAAACAGAGCTGTCTGCCGTCAAATAGTCGAACTCTGCGGCCCAACAGAGCTGTCTGCCGTCAAATAGTCGAACTCTGCGCCCCAACAGAGCTGTCTGCCGTCAGAGCAGCAGACCGACCCGAACAGAGCTGTTCTCCGTCACAGCCTCCCAGAAACAGAGCTGTCCATCGTCAGAACACTGCTCTTCAGAGCTGTTGGGAACGGCAGCTTCTCAAAAAGAGACATCAAGAACAGTGAATTTCCATATGAAGCTTTTGGGAAAGGACAGATCCCAAAGAGAGTAATAGAGATAAGTTAAATCCTCAAATTTTATTGATGAGAAAGGACGAAATGAGGTCACAGAGAAAGGACATTAAAAAACTTAAAATAAATTAGCACTTATTTATTCAGTTGTGTTTGAATAATTCCTAAACGCGACAAACATGTTCACAATATTGCGCCGTTTTACAAGATTTTGTTCTATTAAAAGAACAGTTTGTGAGGTTGTGACCCATAAACATATGAGAATACGGTCAGCACTTTGCAGCTTAGAGCGAAAGATAAAACAGCGTACAAAAACGGCAAAACTATCTCGGCCTCTGCGTTTGATCGCAGCACAAACACCGAAAACCAGCACAAAAGTTCCACTCATACAACAGCTGGTACACTGAACGAACGCTCCACATCCGTGCTGCAAACTTGGTCCACTATGACGAGACGCGACTCGCTTTTTGTACCATCATCCGTCATAAGGATGTCGAATGTAAAGCCGATGCCAATACAAATGCGAGACAAAGGCACGATGTGACCTTGACCGCCAACACAGCTGCGGGACCGACCGACACTTGATCACAGACCGACACACGGACTGACAGACTGACACACAGTCGGTGGAACGTTAGACAGGTCTGTGACTCCATCTGTGGACCAGAAGTCTCTCAGGATGACAATCATACACACTATGAGTCACGAGCAGCACGTATCCTGGCCCAGCGTAGCTCCACACAACAGTTCTAATAGAGTGAGTTCTTTGAACTTACCCGGTGTGTCGAAAAACGCTGGCGCCTGAACACACAGTCTCGGGTCCTCTGAAATGGGTTGGTCTCAGGTTCTCTGTTCAACTCACTTCATTTGAGTTTCTAACGTTCGATTGAGGAATGACTGCTGAGCGCCAAAAGTCGCAAGGTCCGACTTCTAACAATTTGTCCGGCGAGATCGAGCCGGTCCAGGTGAGGGCAAGCCTCTAATGCATTCCAACCCTCGCTTCGCTCTGCAATGGTCATTGCCAGTTTGGAACCACACAGGGGGCGCAGAGGCGACTTCAGATCCAGTCCGCCCCTCCCGCTTCCATCCACACCAGTTCCTCCGGTAACCGTCCGCACAAACTGCGGTCAGTGGGCGTGCTTCGGTCCGTACATCTTGACACCGGCCTTGGTGGTGAGCCGCGTGTTTTTGGCCAGCAGTGAGCCCATCTTGACAGAGGGAGATGTGAGGTCCCTGCCGACACGGAAACGAACGGTCAGAGATAGCAAACTGGTCATTGCAGTCGGTTCATGGTCAATAGCAGCGCAACTGAGGCCGAGACAAAAATAATGCACTCGTAAAATAAAGGTAGTCAGTACGTACGCACATCACAAGGACGAGTAAATTCAAAACTCTTAAATCGTTGGCCGATATCAATGTAAGAATTATTGTCAATAAAATAACGCAATAAAAATAAAACAAAACGATGAAACGGCACTTCGATGGAGTATTGGGTTTCTGTATAACCAGTATAACGCCTTTTGGGGCGACTAACGGAGCGAGCGAGAGGGTTGGCCTTGCACGTGCGAACTTGCGAGTGGGTACCTCCCACTGACTTGTGCACGGCACCCTACTAACCGGTCTCTAGCGATGTGCCAAATTTGAGCACAATCGGCCCAGCCGTTCTCGAGATCTGGAAGCGGCACCCTGCACGTGCGCACGTGCAAAATGGGTCCCGACTGACTTTTGCACGGCACTCTACTAACTGGTCCCTAACTGTGTACCAAATTTGAGCGCAATCGATCGAGCCGTTCTCGAGATCTGGAAACGATCCCTGCACGTGCGCACGTGCAGCAGCACCCCAACTCTGGCACATGGATATGCAGTGCCTAGTGGGTGCCTACCTACATGCCAAATTTCAGCGCAATCGGCCAAGTAGTTACCGAGATATTGCAACAATTACAAAACTGACACCTCTTCGTTTTGCACGTGGCACGTGCATAAGGGGTCACCCACATGCATCGGGAATAGTCCAATACTTGGTAGAAGGAATGAAGCTGCCCTACACAAATTACCGCATGTAAATCGGTCAAGTGGTTGCTGAGATATAAGCCTCGCAAAAGCGTCCGCACGGTACTCAGAAATTTCCGTTAGGTTAAGGAAAGACTACGCTCGCTTCGCTCGCTCCGTAATAAACAGTATTTTTAATCACTGCGTTGTTTGCGAAGCATCATACACGATCTCCTGTAGCTCATCAGCCCTTTCCGCCGGCCCTCGTCCACTCACTCGAGGTAGGGGTGCAGCTCGTCAGCCGTCCAGTGCTGTTTGACGGCGAACAGGGCGGCGAATCTCTCCGGTGCGTCGTCGGGTAGGTCAGTGGGCGCCAGACGCACCACCACCTGCGGACTGACCTCGCTGTTCACCACCGCCAGGCCGCGCAGCTGATCCGCGCTGGTGGTCACTCCTGGAGACAGGACAGGGCGGAGCAGGGCTGAGGTCAGAGTAGAGTAGGGCAGGGTGGGGCAGGGCATGAATGTCATAGTAAGTGAAATCATGATGGCTTAGATAGCATACCAGTACCCAGTAGTAACCAGGTCAGCTCGGATGCGGGTAAGGTCACGACAAGTTCGGTCAAGGCAGGTTAGGTCAGGGCAGGCCATGTGAAGAGTGAGTAAGGTTAGGCCAGGTTAGGTCGGATCTGTGCACGCTAGGGCAGATCATGCCATATTGGATCTTATTCTTGTCTGGTCACCCACATGTAAGTTCTACCCGCTCCCGCCCTATCTCACCGTCGGGGACGCTCTGCTGCCACGACGCGGTGAAGTCAGCCAGGTTGAACGTCTTCATGGGCTGCAGCAGCAGGCGAGCGAATAGCCGGGCCACCTGATCCTCGCAGAACGTGTACAGCGGTTCGCCTGTGACGGCACGCGCACACACGGGGATGAGATGTGACTCAGGGAAGGGACAGCGGCACGACCCGTCAGATGGACATTCGGTTACGCCATTACGATACTAAATGGCAGTCTTTGCTCTACCAGCTCGTTTTGTAAACAGCCAATTCCCGTAGAGATCGCCTGCCCCTGTTCATAGTTCATACCTACCTCATAAATCCTGAAAATATGTAAATAGGCCTAATGCGACAGCCCATACCCCATTCCTAAAGCCTCCCTTAACAAAGTCAGCGTCTCTCCTTCCTACCTCCATCCGCGGCCGTCTCGCCGGTTTGCTTCATATGTTTGTCGAAACAGTGCGCCACCACTGCAACCGGCTCCAGCTCCGACAGCGTCTCCAGCGTCAGCGAGCGTCGCACCTCGACACTCGACCACGAGTTCTCATCGATGAACTTTGTGATCAGACTGAACACGTGGAACTCGTACTCGCACTCCAGAAACCGGTACTCGCCTGAAAACAGACGCATGCAAACAGTCAGAATAGTGAAACTGTAGTGTCGTGTTCCCGTCGTGTCCAGGGGACAGCGGCATTATCCTAAAGTTTCACGGGCATCGATAGTATCGAAAGTGGAGCGACTTTATAAGTTAAAGAGGACGCACACTAACATTTTTCAGCACTAATATATGTCGTAATCTCCTCCGTTCCGTCGCTTCCATCCTCAGGATACTGAAATTCTCCTCCTCCACGCCGCAACCCCCACTCCGGGCTGGACAGGCACCTTTATCTCATGAGGGCTGCTCCCTTGGAGCGACACCGCTGCTCCCGAGGGAGCGCACCCCGTAGCAGGTGCAGAGAGTGCTTGGGGGGGGGGGGGAGCTGGTCGGCCTGTCCATCCGGACGGGCTCAGCCCCGGCAACTCTCTAGGGTGTCTGCCCAGACCAATGTCCGCTAATTCCTATCATCTTTCCGGCTCTGAAATGGTCTTGTCAGACCGAAAGGGCCTAACCCAATAAAAAAAATTGTCAGCTCGGGCCACGAACGACTAACAATGGCAATCTGTCGTAAATATCAAAGTCAAACATGTCCACCGTGCTATCTCTATTTCTCTCCTCCCCTGCCGTCCTCTCCACCTCCCTCCCTCCCGCCTTACTGTCCATCCTCCATCCTCCTCACCGTCCATCAGCAGCGCGTGGCTCTCCTTGAGCGCAGTCTCCAGCTGCTCCCGGCTGGCCTGCACGGCCTCGGCCAGCCGCGCGGCGCTGTACCCGGTCCCCGGGTGGAGCCGGCCACGGTACGGGTCAGCCGACAGCAGCCGGTGCAGCCGCCGCAGCCGCGGCTGGCACTCGCGCAGCTCCAGGTAGGTGTAGAACGTGCCGGCCACCTGCGGTATGGTGAGATCCGTCAGATAGTGAGTCCGGGGGAAGGGGTAGGACTGCCAAGTGTGTTGATCACTGGTCACTAGTCAGGCAAGTCCGAACGAAAGTTCGTAGATGTATTACTGGATGACAAAACAACTTTGACTCAGCCGGTTATAAGACAGATAAAAATATGAAAATGAAAAGTGTGTTGTCATGTGATATTAAGAGTAATTCAGACGCCTGAAGATCACCTGACTGTGTCTGCAATCATATCATAACACAACATGACGCAACTGTACAGCATCTTTGAGACGGTGCCATCCTTACCTGTCTGTCTGTAACATGTCGAGGACCCTCCTTCTCAATTTCGTTGGGTCCCGTTAACGACTGGAGCAGCAGAAGGGAGTTGGATGTCTCCGCCTCTCGAACAGAGTACGTTTTCTCCGCGGTACAGAGCACGGCACTGTCCGAGGGTTCGCCCCGAATGACCAGGCTGAAATAACGACTGTCTGAGTCACCAGTGACCAGTGATTACGGAGCGAGCGAAGCGAGCGTAGTCTTTCCTTAGATTAACGGAAATTTCTGAGTATGAGCGGCCGGCCGGCCGGCCGGCCGTGCGGACGCTTTTGCGAGGCTTATATCTCAGCAACCACTTGACCGATTTACATGCGGTAAATTTTGTAGGGTAGCTTCATTCCTTCTACCAAGTATTGGACTATTCCCGATGCATGTGGGTGACCCCTTATGCACGTGCCACGTGCAAAACGAAGAGGTGTCAGTTTTGTAATTGTTGCAATATCTCGGTAACTACTTGGCCGATTGCGCTGAAATTTGGCATGTAGGTAGGCACCCACTAGGCACTGCATATCCATGTGCCAGAGTTGGGGTGCTGCTGCACGTGCGCACGTGCAGGGGTCGTTTCCAGATCTCGAGAACGGCTTGACCGATTGCGCTCAAAATTGGTACACGGTTAGGGACCAATTAGTAGGGTGCCGTGCAAAAGTCACTTGGGACCCATTTTGCACGTGCGCACGTGCAGGGTGCCGCTTCCAGATCTCGAGAACGGCTGGGCCGATTGCGCTCAAATTTGGCACATCGCTAGAGACCGGTTAGTAGGGTGCCGTACACAAGTCAGTTGGAGGTATCCACTAGAAATTTTGCACGTGCAAGGCTCACTCTCTCGCTCGCGCCGTTAGTCGCCCCAAAAGGCGTTATACTGGTGATTATGATTGTGATGATTGTGAGTACAATGATTGCGTTCTATCGCAGCATTTATTATAGACCGTTCAAATCAATAAGGAAGCATTCGAGAGATAACACAATGCGATTGCCAATCATGTCTTCAGACAGAGAGTGAATATGATGTACGTAACTCCATACTTATATATAAGCAGAATATGCAATTGCATGTTCAGACCAAATAAACAGACCCACCTGCCACCTTTGCAAACATGATCAATGACGTGGGCATCCGCTTCCACCAGGGTCAGCTGAGACGCGTTGGCAAGGCAATCGTCAGAAAAGTACAGGGTCTGTGCCTTTGGAAGAAGGTCTTCGAGCTGCAGTTTTGCCTTCTCGGCAATGGCATCAACATCCTGAATGGGCCTGAAAAAAACATTGAGGGTATTGTTAGATTGTTAAGCTTGAAACTCGGAAGATACTGAGACTTAGACATTTGTAAAAAAGAAAACTGAAACCATGGTTAACCCTCGCCCGTATTACCTACTGTTTTGACAGCCGCTAACGTACTCGTATAGGGGGACCAACCCCCTCGGCCCCTGATCGAGCTAGAGCTTCGCGGAAAAAACGAGCGTGTTGCCCGTGACAAGAGAAAGCCGATGATACCCAATTTTAAGGACCTAGGTAGATCGTTGGTTGACCTTCCAAGTCAGGTCAATGACCCAAAAGTCGGGAAAATCGAGACCTGTTAGAACTTCGTAAAGTGAGGTTGTTATGTTTTTCGGGATACTGATCACGAATTAAATGTTAGTGATCACAGATTCGAAATCAGCTAAAAAGACCACTCTAGAAACACTTGACAGTAAAAAAGTGAGCCAAGGTCACCAAAAGTCAATGACCTTGAGCTGACCTTCATGTGTATTTAGCTGTATTTAGACAAGGTCTTTCCAGTGCTCACATCGAGCCAGAATATGAAATGTTATCAAATAAGGTGTGACCATGTGAGGAAGTGATTCGGCAGCCCTGTGTTGGTGTAGCCTTTCCTTAAACTTGTTTGTACAGGGAGCCTCCATCACATCCCTTGGCACTCTGTTCGTCATGTACTTCTCTGTTTAAAAAGAGTTTCAGCCGAAGTAAATGACATGATCTGCCTTTTATTACTTACAGATGGTGCCCTCTAATGTGATTTTCATGGGAGAATTCGAAGAACTGCTCAATGTCAACCTTAGCATTTTATCAGGAGCTTGTAAGCTTTGCTGGCAACCCAGCCAGCTAAATTGGTCTGGGCCGTATCTTGTTTTACTCTGGCTAGCTCCAGCACTTGCTCTGCCGAATTACGAGCAAGGTCTGGAGCAAGGTCTGGAGCACTGCTAGAGTTGACATATGATCCCAGAGCTGGCCCGCACCACAGCCAGACTTATGCCACAGCAGCCGTGCCGTGCATCAATCGTACTTCAGCCACAGTAAGACAGAGCCGCTACGAGGCAGCCGGACCTCGCGGTAGCGCGCCATGGCGGGAAGCCAGACTTGAGCGAGACTTGCCAGTTGGCGGTCCGAAACCAAACCAACTCCAGAGCAGTGAGCGCTATGGGAAAGACTGGCTAACCGGAATGGAGCCATATTGACCCAAGCCCCCCCCCCCCCCCCCCGTTCTGATGGCGCACCTTCACCAAACTGGAAAACATCCATACACTACGCCGGACGCCCGTGAAACCCTCTTGCGCCGAAATTCGCAAGCGATTTTGCACTGAAAGTTCTGTATGATTTGCGCCAAAAAATTGGGTGCCTATTTGTGCCAAAATTAAGCCACTTTTATATAAAGCACATGAGCACATCTACTGATCAAGGCTACCTATATCAACTAGACAGAGCGTTCCGGGGTCTTGGACATCCGGGATTTGAGCGCCTGAATAAGTTTTTATTTCCACGGAAACCCAATAGGTACCTCAATACGCTCAGCGCACTGTAGCGTCGTGCTGTGAAACAAGGCCGTAGCCGAAAGTCCCAGGGCCACACCAATCGGCGGAGCGGTGTGTTCGAGGCTAGCGGGAGCCAGCAAAGGCCTGGTAGCGAAGCAGCACGTGCTCCGGCACATCAGCCTCTTTTCCGCACACAGCGCAGAGCGCCGCGGGGCACCACTCTCTCTGTCCTCTCCGGGGATGATAGGGAGCGGCGGCGTGCTCCTGAGGAGTGACTTGTATAATGATTCTGAGCAGTTGTCGCGCCATTGATGCAAGGCCGCACAGTGAACCATCCTGGTCAGCGAGTGGGAGTTCGAGGGCAGGATGGCTGCTTGTTTCGCCAGGTCGTCCACGCTCTCATTCCCCTCGCTACCGCAGTGGGCAGGAACCCATTACAGTATTACTTAGCGACACTCAGCGATGATCAACAAGGTCAGCAGCCTTGCTATTCATCTCCACGCCGAAGGTTGAGGCCTCACCTAAGTGGCTGCTCCTCCACTGAGTTGACTCAGTGTGGCTCACCAGTTCGAGCACGACGACCAGGGCGGGGGCGTTTCGTCCTGAAACCTCTCCAGAGTCGCCCGCAGGGCGAATCTGCTGCTAGATTGACCAGCTCGCCAACTAAATTCAGTGACCAGCTTTCACTAAAAATTATGAGGCCGCCCTGCGGCAAAAAATTCAGCCGCCTCCATGTGCTGATTTTGACGTGTGTGAAGTTGTGCCCCTGCATGTGCGCCAACATTTTCTGCACAATCCCGCTACTAAGCCGAACATATTCAGCAAAACGCGCTTTATTCCAGTCCGGTCCCTTAACACTGGTTCAAATTTGGCATGTCAGAATTGACAAGGGAAAACAGACTAGACCCAAACCAAATTGCTGGCTGGGAAGATCTTATCATTTTGGCAGTTACAACCTAGTGGCTTCTGGGGCCTAAGAGTGTTATGTTTTGTCATGTTCTTCACATTCCAATTCCTGAATCTAATCTTACCTTATGCTTGATCCAGTGTTTTGGGCCTCCATTTAACGTTATTGTGAAAGCAGTTGTGGCCAAGGCCGTTGTGGCCAAGATTCTTACAGATACAGAGGCAGAGGCACACCCAAGGCCCTCTGGCACACCTTACTCTATCTCTTCTTCTGGACAACATTCATTCACATAGCCGAATAACTTTTCAGAGGAGCTATTGCAATTTCAGAGGAGCTATTGCAATGCAATGCATAATGATAAACACTAGGGAATCAAACGGGGCGCGCGCTTCGTAGCGTGTTTTACATGCGCCGTTGCTACTGCTTTTGATATATAAATTTATGTTTTTCATTGACGACATCTATTGGTCAAGGATGTTTCTCTTCCAGAAAGAGTGAAGTAGCTTAAAAAAAAGATGTATTTAAATTAATCAACTTTGATTAATTAAAAGAAATATTTTCATAAAAATGACCATGCGTCTGCAAAGGTCAGAGAACACATATTTTGTCACAAAAGCGGCAAAAGAGCTTCGAAACATTTAATTTTTCAATTTATTCAAAAAAGAGCAATTTATGTTCCATGAGGCTAATGGAAGCCAAAAGACCAACCAAAAGGCTGAAGTATTCCTGTCGACAGCAGCTAGGGTTAGAGTAGAACACGATGTATCTTTGTTATTTTTGCTTGACGGTCGCGTGCTCGTGCCGCGCTACGTTCGCTCTGAAGTCTTCCTGGGCGATTTTACGGTTGAAGGTGGGTTTATTTTAGCTGAACTAGCAAGTGATGTATAATCGTTTACTGTATATGTCACGGAAGGATGAATAAATTGCGAAATCTGTCGCTAAAGTGCCTTTCTCGTTTCGCCGCAATTGTCACTACCGCGTCAAATGACATTTTAACGCATATATATGTAGAATGAGGAGCTGTTTAGGTGTCCTTATTTGTTAAACTCCTATTGAGGAGTTTCAGAAACCCTATACTCAACCGACTATCCTCAAAGTCTACCTACCTACATAGCAGCTGCCACAGTATAGGTTGAGGTATGCGTGAGGCTGTACCCAGAGATGGACTATGGAGTGGGCAGAAAGATGGCTTGTTCCATTGTGCAAGGGATGAGTTACAGTTGTACCTGGCCTAGGGGAAGGTAATCTGTACACTCAGTACATATATCAATGCATGGGAAAGATTCAGGCTCAGCATCTGTGTCGACAGATGAATAGTCGAGGTAGGTAGAGATATTCGAGTCAGGAAGCAACTGAGGTTAAATATTAACTAATCCTAAAATATGAAGCTGAATAGGAAACTCTGTCATGTTACAAGAGTTAACCTTAATTATGTATTATTAATGATTATAGTAACCATTCACTTTTTATTTTCAGGCAGCTGAAAATGGCAGATCCTGATGGATCAACCAAGAAAAAAATATCCAGACCTGGCTTCAAGTTTGAGACAGGTTTCAGAATTGAGTTACTGGAGACAGGAGTATGGTATGGTGTTTGTTTAAGTATGAATAATTAGGGCTGCTCAGCCCCTGCCCCCTAGCATCCTCACCCTAGAAAATATCTGGCCCTGCCCCTAGAAAATGGACAGATTGGAGTTTCCCTTCTCCATGCTGCATAGTTCTCTGGAACCTAATGGTGTGATGATAGAATAAGATTTGTGCTTGGTACCTAAATACTAAATAGTGTATGTGTTATGTTGTACCTATTCAAACATTCAAGCAAAACTAGTTGACTTCTTAGGTAGCTGCAATGTACCTATTGGTGCATCCCATTCAAATGCAGTTTTTTATTATTCATCAGTAATAAAAAAGACTAGCAAGTGGCACGCTCAATAATGTGTGTAGTCATTTTACATCACATCATCTCAATTATTTTTCCAGTGATTCAGAGTGGTATCTATTTTGAGATACCTGATATGTATCCCTCTGTTTATCCACTTGGGGTACGTTTGCATTTTCTCATTGGCATGATGCATCATACATTTGCAGGTATACTTGCAAAATTCTGCAAGTGGACTGGGAAAAGGAGCTAATTCTCATTCACTATGACCGGTGGTCTCACAAGTTTGATGAATGGGTGCCCATGTCATCACCAGACATCAGGCCTTGCAAGGATAAGGGCAGGCAGTGAGTAATGTGCATATTTTTCTATTGCTCCATTTTAAAATGATTTAAATGTGGTGCTGCCGCTGGGCTCAATTACTAACTACCAGAGTGCTGCTGGCAGCATTTTATGGATGTTGATGTAAATAGGCATTTTTGGTTAATTACTCACTTTGCTACCTATGTATTAATGTGTGATTATGGGATTGACATGCCAGAGTACTGTTATAGCCAAATGTATTACAATGTGGCTAGTGACTCAATGTTAAAGCATATTAAATCCGATAAAATTAAGTGTCTGCAATGTTTGGTTCCCTCTGACTGCTTACAGTCATGGTATGTTATTATCTTACATTACCTTGCCCACTGTGTGTGGGGGGAGGGGGAGGCGCCGTGCCTTTAACCCGCCCGTCTTTACCTGTCTGACCATTTGTCGATGTTTGCCAGGCGGCAGGACAGTAAGAAACACTTTCGCGTGCGTGAGGACGTGTTCGCAGTTTGGTCGGACGGCCGCCGCTACCCGGGCTCCATTCAGGCCGTACTCCCTAACGGTAAGACGGTGGTCTGCGGCTGACTAATGTTGGTGTATGGCTGTGTAGCACATCACAAGGCAAAGCGCATTCTGTAGCACAGGGCTACATAAGACTTAAACGCAAACGTACGGAAATGTTTCCAGAACATTTGCACACCGCGTGTGTACTGTGCATAAACAATTAATGACTGCAGTTAGAGTAGAGTTTTCGCTCGTCGATAATAGAATCTTTAGCTCCTTGGTGCACGGAGCGTAATAGCAACCTTGCGACATTCCATGGCATACCTTATGCATAGTTTTTTTTCAGCATCAAATGATCAAAGTTGTTAGGTCGGAAAAGACTCGTACATTTTTCATCCAGCACATATCGCGGTAACTTGGCCGATGCATCCACTGTCTCCCGTTACAGCCGTGCCTCCCGTTCTCAGATACATACCAGGTCATGTTCTTTGACGGCTTCATGAAGAAGCTCAAGTCGAAACAGCTGAGCAAGTGGACCCGGGAGAACGAGCAGCGGTTCGGCGCGGCCACCGGGCCGGGCCGGTCGGCACTGCCCGCTATGCCCAACACTCCGACGGCCATCGCCGGTCCCAGCGGCCTTCCCGTGCCGCCGCCGGCCCCCGCCGGCTTCGTGCCCGAGGTGCTGGACACCAAGCGGAAGCGGAAGACCAACCCGATCGTGGAGGAACTCCTCGGACCGAAGCGGGCCCGCCGTCAGATGCGGGAGGAGTCTGAGAGCCGGCACCGCAGCCCGTCGGGCGCCCCGTCCACCGGCAGTGCGGCCAGCACGCCGGGCGGCAGCAGCAGGAAACAGAGCTGGGCTATCAGCTCGCGGGAGGACGCCGACGGCGACTCGGCCGACTCGGGCTCCGAGTGGGACTCGATGCCAGAGGAGGAGGAGCAGGAGGAGGAGGGTGGGGAGTATGTGGAGGACACCGGAGATGAGGAGGCGGAGGGAGAGGAGGAGGAAGAGGCCGGGAGCGGAGAGGAGGAGTCGGTCTACAGCGAGTCGGTGCTCTCCCTAGATGGTGAGTGGCCGAGTTTCGTCGGTGGCTCTAGGGCGACGTTTGGGTATTTGGTTGCGTACCTAGGTACTGCGCTCGTTCTTGAATACTTGTTCATGTCCATTAAAAAGACCGTGTTTTAGATTGTTCATTGCATTCCGGATCGCGTTTATGTGCGCGAGATCTTTAGTTTATTCCAGTCTCACTATGCAGTGACGTTGCACTATCTTCTTACGCGCTGACATAACGGCTCCCAGTTTATTCACCAGACCCTCCCTCCGCCGACAGACACGGCCAGCTCCAGTTACCGGTCCGCCTCTCCACCGGCACCCACTCCCTCTCCCGCCGCGGCGCCGCCCAGCCCCGCCGACCCGACCGCCGAGCACGACCTGCCGCCCGGCTGGCGACGCGTGCTCACACCGCGCACACAGACCAACCGGCTGGACATCACGCTGTTCGCGCCCGACGGCACCCGGTTCCGGTCGCGCGCGGAGCTGGAGCGGTTCGTGCAGCGGACGGGAGCCACACACCTGGAGCCCAGCGTCATGTTCCGCAGGCCGCCGCGATCAGGTGAGACGGGGGACCGTTTCGTGTCAGAGGGAAGCGGAGGTGGCGATCAATGGGAAAGTACTCGATGCCTGAGGAAGTCGCCAGGCCCCACATGTGAATTGGGATTGCTGAATTTGCTGTTACTCAGGGAGACGGGACTTGGGAATTTGCTTGAAAACAGGCTTGATGTGCAGGACTTACCCCCACCCTTCGTGATGGAATGTAATTGATGGAATTTTGATGTTTTTTTTCTAGATCACTGCTCTTCATATTGCTCTATGTCTGCTGTGAATCCCTGCCGGGCTGCATGTCAGACTGTTCAAACGCCGTGCTCTGGCCTGACCGGATGACCTGCCGCAGAGACGGTGGGTCGCCGTCGTCGCCAGTCGCCGCCGCGGTCCGTCGGCCGGCCTTCCTTCACCTCCTCTATGTCTGTACCGTCGGGCGGTCCGCCAGAGAGCGGCGGCCGGCCGCCCCTGACCTCCACCCCGAGCCTGCCCGGTCCCGCCGCCCGTGGGATGTATGTGGCAGCGACCGGCACCCAGAAGAAACTGCCGCTCGGCTGGGCGCGTGAGTTGATTGGGCGGTGATACTTTGCGGCGATGGAGCCTATATTGTTGAGTTCATCGACCGCCATGGACAGTCATGAGTTGGGTCAATGGGACAGAGACAGGGATAAAGGGGTAATGAGATATGAATCATTAGATGGGGGCTTTATTTCTTGTCGTCCAGATGATAAGGATACAAACTTAAAACTTTGATATTTTTTATACGACTTACATGCTTTTGTCTGACTTCCTGTGCCGTTGTTAGGCGTGACCAATGATTTATTTTGCCACTAGTGGAAAATGAAAGCCTCGCTTCGAGACACTTCATTACTATTCTAGCTCTCCTGAAAGGTTCTTTCTCATTTACATCCTAGTTCATGGCTCCGGGTTGGTACCAGTTGCCATTTTTCGACTACCGCCGCTGCTGAGACTCTGACCGTCCTATGTCCGTGTCTCCGCCAGTGGAGCCGATAATCGATAAACCAGCAGAGCCGGAGCAGCAGGACTTCACGTGTGTCGACCGAGAGTGCAACAAAAAGTTCCGCAACGAGAGTCTGCTTCAGGTGGGTAGGGGCGGTCTGTCGTGTTCTCTGGCCCTCGTGGAGGAAAGGATGTCGTGAGATAGTCCGGTGGCTGGTGATGGGGAAGGATGTGTTGCATATTTACAGCGATGACCCTGTCACCGGTCCGGGGCTTGTAACCTTTTTTTCTATGCGGGCTGTAATTCATCAGGACTACAGTCGTTACAGGATTACTCACTACTCAGTACA